ACAATCTATCCTAGAACAAAATAAAATAATAACAATAAGCATGAAATAAAACTGTAGATAGGAAATGACAGATTAACTATGACAATAAAAACAGAATGTGAAAGCGGAATGTAAAAGCAGAAGGTAAAGTCTTAATTTGCGAAGAGTGGTTGGTGTCAAATGGTTTCCGAGAATAAGATAGTTGAGTTCTCAGCAAGTCAGAAGGAGTAGCTGCCGCTTCCATTCCCTTGAGAGCTCTCCGACTAGCCAGCATCCTCGGCAGTCTTATTGGAGCTATGCTCCAACAATGATTCTAGTGTGCGATTTTGTGTGGATGGGTCTGAAACATTCGTGTGGGCAAGCTTGTCAAGGAAACCTTTCAGCTCCGCATCTCTGGTAGCGAGTTGCAGCGTTAAACTGGCAACCATGTCCTTCAATTCTCCAATCTCATTGGAGATGGGAGCTTGGTAAGCCATCATTTCATTGATGGCTTCTATAGGCACACCACTTTTGGTCCTGGTCTCGTTAGTCATTAGCCTCTCCATCAATGGCTTATCCAACACTCTTTTCTCTGTTACGACCTCTTCATCCTGTACCATCGGGACGTTTGCTTGCATACATAACTTTTAGATCAAGTTAGGGAAAAAGAGTTTGCTTAGACGTTTTGTGGCACACTGCGCTATCTCGTGGAAAATAAGTTGCCCCAAATCCAGTGGTTTGCCCTCCATTATACAAGCCAAAACAAGCACCTTGTCCTTTGTGACGGATGAATCGTGCGTTGTTGGCAAGATGCGGCTCTTCAGGAAGTATAACAAGACATTGACCTTAGGGGTGATGAAGTTGGAGGGGAGGGAATTGGCTCCGTGAGGAACAACGCTCCAGGATGCGCTAGGGTGCACCACGACAGACGGAGCGTGGTCTAGCTGCGCGGATGACAGTTGTTCCAACATCTTGTTCCCCCCATCGTTGGGAATGGACGGGAGGTGAAGTGCTTTGTTGATGCGCTCTGGGGTCAAAGAACCTTTACTTCTCTCACAGTCATGTGGCCCAGATTGCCTGGAATGAGGTTGGCATAAAACTCCTTGACTAGTCGTGGGATGATGAGACCTAGAGATACACAAAAATACTCCGAGTGGTTCCGTTGAATCACATCTTGGATGAAGGTAGGCATGGGGTTTAATTCGAAACCCTTTTCTAAGAAGAARTCCTTCTTCCTCAGCTTCTTGTATGCATCCATCGTTGAATGAGACTGGAAGCGCTTGAATGTGTCGTCTTGAGGGACGACCAGCTTAGGCTTTCAACGGCCAGGAGGAAGTGAATGTCGAGCGCTTCCCTTTGGAGATAGCAGAAGGCTTGGGAGAAGTGATTTTGGGCGCAGTAGTGGCAGATGACACATGCAAGGATTTCGTCACAGTAGGTGAGTGGGTGGCTTTGGACTTCTTCGCCGGCGGTAGTACAGTAACTGATGCAGCGGGCCGCTTTGTATTTCTCGTCCTTGATACAGGTCCAGTCGGAGAAAGCGGTTTCTGGGAAGACTTGGAGGTTTTAGGTAGTGGTAGGTCAGCTTCAACGGCGACGGGTGGAGGTGAGGTACTGGTGGGTGGCAGAACGACCTCCTTCTGCTCAACCACTTTCTCAGAACCAGATGTCTGAGGCGCGACAGTCGGGTTCAGGGAGCGCGGCGATAGATCAGCTTCAACCTTCGTCGAATGCTCGGCGTCGTCCGTGAGGCTCTCAGATGAAGATTCTGAAAGGGCAAGGTCCATGCGAAGCTTTTATATCGCCTTTGATTTGATCCTCGACATTTTTGGATGGGAAGCAAGCAGAGCTTGGGGACTAATTTCATAGATGAAGCAGACAGGAATTTCTAGGACTTCAAAGTGAGAATGAAGGTGATAGTGGGATAAAGACGAGTGGTGGGAGGTTAAATAACCATTAACCAGCAGGATCTCCCACGATCTCCCCTTTAATGCTCATCATTTAAAATGAGATTTCAAAATCGAATTTCAAAAGTGTACCTCCCTCCAACATTTCAAATTCAGCTTCCTTTCACACTTGATATCGTGCTTAGGTCCCTGAAGCGCCAGCTGTCCTTTGTAATCCATTCTTTCATTAAATCCCGCCTGCATGCTGCCGTATTTTAACTTAAATTCTCAGCAGTTTAAAATCTTATTGGGTGACTGCACCTACCATCATAATCAAGATCATTTTATTAATTTTAGATGCATTTAAGGAAAACCAATTGCAAAATAAATAAATAAATAAATAAAGCAGATTAAAACTGGAACTCATAAAATTAAAACAGATTTATCCAATGCTCCTTTATTCGTGATTCATTGTTCTCTCTATTATTCCGGGGCAAGCTGGCATGTCCCAACATCCCTATTTATGATCTCGCCCCAATAGTGCTTCAGGCGTTGCCCATTCACCATGAATTCCCTCTTTGAATTCAATTCCTTTACTGTGACTGCACCATGGGGAGAAACTTTAACTATCTAGAATGACCCTGACCATTTGGATTTTAATTTCCGTGCAAATAACTTCAGCCGAGAGTTGTACGAAAGAACTTGCTGACCTTCTTCAAATTTTCTTGGGTGGATCCGGGCATCGTGCCATTTCTTCATCTTCTCTTTATAAATTTTCACGTTCTCATATGCATCCCTTCTAAATTCTTCGAGTTCATGGAGTTACAACCTCCTCACTCCTGCTACTGCTGTGTAATCGAAGCTCAATTTCTTCAACGCCCAATATGCTTTATGCTCTAATTCCAGGGGCAGATGGCAAGCTTTTCCGTAGACCAACTTGTAGGGGATGTTCCAAGGGGTGTTTTAAAAGTTGTCCTTAGGCCCAAATTGCTTCATCTAGCTTAGATGACCAATCTTTCTGACTGACCCCCACTACCTTTTCTAGAATATTCCTCAGCTCCCTATTAGATATTTCAGCCTAACCATTTGCTTGTGGGTGGTACGTCGTGGCAATCTTGTGCTTCACATTATACTTTGCTAGACGAGTGGCTATAGCTTTATTCACAAAATATGTACCTTTATCACTGATAATGGCTCTTGGAGTATCAAAATGAGTGAAGATGTTCTTCAAAAGGAACTTAGTGACCACTTTTGCGTCACTTGTTGGGCATGAGATGGCTTCCACCCACTTGGATACGTAGTCTACAACTACCAAAATAAACAAGTGCTTGGATGGTGGAAACAGCCCCATGAAATCAATGGCCCACACATCAAATAGTTCTATTTCCAAAATATAGGTCAGCGGCATTTCAGACTTCTTGGAAATATTTCCTACGCTCTGGCACTCATTACAACTTTTGACTAAGTTGTGGGCATCCTTGAAAATTGATGGCCAAAAATATCCACTTTGTAGCACCTTAGCTGCTGTCCTCTGCCTACCAAAGTGTCCTCTATAAGAGGCTGAGTGACAATCTTGCAAGACTTGGGATGCTTCGACTTCAGTGACGCATCTTCTAATTATGTTGTCATGTCCCACCCTATATAAGTAAGGATCATCCTAAAAGTAGAAGTTGCATTTATGGAAAAACCTTTCATTTGCTATCTCGGCCATCCCTCTGGTTTGATTCCACAAGCTAGAAAATTCACTATGTCTGCGAACCAGGGTTCTTCTTCCTTTGCTTTCTTGTGAGTGACTTTCATGAGCTGCTCATCTGGAAAACTATCTCTGATTTCCACAGCATCCAACTTCTTATCAGTTTCCACAATCCGAGATAAATGGTATGCTACAAGGTTTTTAGATCCCTTCTTGTCTCTAATTTCTAGATCAAACTTTTGCAAAAGAACTATCCATCTGATCAGTCTTGGATTGGCATCCTTTTTTGTAAGCAAGTACTTTAGCGCAGCGTGGTCCATGTGTACTATGACCTTGGCACCCATTAAATAAGATCTGAACTTTTCAAACGCAAAGACTACTACGAATAATCCCTTTTCCGTGGTTGCGTAGTTAATTTGCGCTTCCACCAGTGTCTTGCTAGCATAATAGATCGGATGAAGCATCGTATTCTTTCTCTAGACTAACACGGCACCAACCGCGAAGTTACTTGCATCACACATCAGTTCGAACGACAACTTCCAGTCAGGAGCTTGAATTATGGGTGCATGACTTAAAGCATGTTTCAGCATCGAGAAAGCCTGCACACATTCAGGAAAAAAGTTAAACACCCTATCAATCTCTAATAATGCATAAAGGGGTTTAGCAATTTAGAAATATGAACCGTCTATAGAATCCAGCATGGTCTAGGAAGCTTCTGACTCGTAGGCTGTGGTAATTGTTCAATCACTTCCACTTTTGCTTGATCAACTCCTAATCCGTTTCTTAATACTCGATGCCCTAGCACAATCCCCTCTTGTACCATGAAATGACATTTTTTCCAATTTAATACCAAATTGGTCTCCTCGCAACGTTTCAGTACTCTCTGCAGATTTCCTAAACAAGCGGTGAAATTTTCCCCGAATACTGAAAAGTCATCCATAAAGACTTCCACTATAGATTCAACCAGGTCAGAGAATAGAGCCTTCATGAATCTTTGGAAGATGGCTGGGGCATTGCACAGTCCGAACAACATCCTCCTGAAAGAGAACATTTCGTACATACAAGTGAATGTCATTTTGTGTTGATCTTGCGGTGCAAGGGTTATTTGATTATACCCACTATAACCGTCAAGGAAATAGTAGTAGTCTTAACCAGTCAGTCTGTCCAACATTTGGTCAATAAAAGGTAGGGGAAATGGTCTTTCTTCGTGGCCTTATTGAGCTTTCTGTAGTCCATGCAAATCCTCCAACCAGTCACTGTCTTTGTAGGAATGAGCTCGTTCTTTGCGTTCTCTACCACTGTCATTCCCCCTTTCTTTGGTACACATTGTATCGGGCTAACCCACTGTTCTTCATCGCTGGGTTTAACACTCTCTGATGCTCACCAGAATTCTTGCAATTCTCCTCCAAGACAATCTTGTGCATGCAGTAGTTGGGACTAATTCCTTTGATATCCGCTATGGTCTAGCCTATAGCTCTTCGATGCTCCTTTAGTACTGCGAGTAATTCCTCCTCTTTGTTCTTAAGCAAATTGGCTGCAATAATTATTGGCAAGGTGTTGGCTACTCCTAAGTACGCATACTTAAGATGTTGCGGTAAAGCCTTCAATTCCAGTTTTGGTGGCTCTTCTACTGACGGTTTCAATTGCTTCTGATTGACTTCTTCTAGCTTTAAGTCTTCGTGCGTCCTTGACCATGAATTTGTGATTTCTTTTCCTCCATCTATAGAAAACACTTCATAATAGAAATCTTCAGCTTTTTGCAACATGGCTTCCAATTCCAAATTTTTGTTCTAAAGCAGAAATTATGAACTTCCATTCTTTCTCTCAACTTCATCCAACACTCTGAGCGCAAAACACTCCTTAGCTTCTGCAGGATATTTCATAGATTCATACACCAAAAAATTATCTCTTGGTCTTGTACCCTCATAGTGACTACTCCCTTATGCACATCCACTAGAGCATTTCCTTTCGCCAGAAATGGTCTTCCCAGAATGATAGGTACTTCCTCATCTGCATCAAAATCAAGAACAATAAAGTCAGCAGGGAATATAAATTTACCCACTTGTACCAAAACATCCTCTATTTTTCCTTCTGAATTAGCAATGGATCTATCAGCTAGCTAGCGGGTGACCGTCATTGGCTTAACTGCTCCCATCCCCAACTTCTGATATACTGTCAAGGGCACTAAGTTGATGCTTGCTCCGAGATCGCAAAGTGCTTGTCCAATCTTATGACCACCAATTGATACGGGGATTGTAAAGCTTCCCGAATCTTTCATTTTTTGTGGTATTTTGCTGGTCAGAATGGTTCTACACTCTTTCGTTAAGCAGACCGTTTCAAATTCTCCTAACCGTCGTTCCTTAGTCAGGACATCCTTAAATTTCACATATGTAGGCATATGCTCCAAGGCTTCCATTAGAGGTATGTTTATGTGTATTTGTTTAAGCACCTCAAGAAATCTTTTGAATTGTCTCTCTTGATTCTTTTTCTGTAAACGCTTAGGAAAAGATAGTGCTGGAACGTAGTCAGCTATTGGTGCTGGAACCTTAGACTGTTTTGACTTTTTGGAGTCTTCAGCTCTCTCTATGTTTATTGTTTGCGTTCCACTATGCCTCTTCTTTTCAACTTCTGAGTGTGTACCAGTCTCTGGGGCTTGTGCTTTAGTTGGTTCTGTCAACTCCTCTGCATTGGCCTTCGGCTCTGCAACTGCTTCTTCGTGATCTTTTTCTTGCTGTGGTATTGGTGTTAAAGCTTTGTCACTCGTAGTGTCAATGCTTTGCATTGCTCTTTACCATCTCACCTAGGTTGCTCTGTATCACTTGGCAGCACACCTTTTGGTCTTTTCTTTAGTTCTGTCGCCAGTTGTATTATTTGGAATTCCATGTTTCACAATGATGTTGCTTGACTCTACAAGAGAGCTGCTTGACTTTGCACGTTGGCATCATTCTTAGTCATGTAGATTTTAAACATCTCCTTTAAGCTTATTCATTCTAGTTGCTTTTGTGTGTTCTGCTGATTTTGTTCGGAAAAACCTGGTGGATACTGTGGTTTTTAGTATACCCTTGGGTGTTACTTGAACCGACGTTATTGCCTACTTGGTTCCCTCCCCAACTGAAGTTTGGGTGGTTCCTCTAACTTGAGTTATATGTGTTACCATACACATTATTTCTATTTTGCTGCTGATTGCCCAAGTAATATACTGATGCGGGATTGCCTGGACAGTTTTCAAAATGATGTTCCCCTTCACAGTATGGGCACAGGCTGTTCTGTACAGCTGCCACCTTCGCCTTAGACCTTACGGCCTCATTTGTAGTGACATTCTTCATGAAAATATCAGCCAAGCACGAAGTTTTGGAATTGAGGTCCGCCACTACATCCTCTATTACTAACCCTGTGGGACTTGCTGTTGTGCAGCTCGTGATTTCGACCATTGATGCTTATTCCTTGGAATTATTTCCAATATGTCAAAAGCTTCTGCATACGGTCTTGACAACAAAGCTCCATTGGCTGAGACATCAATTACCAATTCTGTCGCCTCGTTTAGCCCATTATAATAAGTCTCAATATGAATGCAGCAGGGTATTCCATGATGGGGGCATTTTTGTAACAACCCTTTGAATCTTTTCCAAGAATCACTTAAGGATTCTCCTGGCAACTGCTAAAAGTTGTTAATCTTGTTCCTGAGTTCAGCATTCTTCGAAGGTGGGAAATACTGCATCAAAAATTATTTTGCTAAGTCATTCCATGAAGTAATTGATTCGGCGGGCAAGGATTCCAGCCATGCTCCAGTAGAGTCCCTCAACAAGTAAGGGAATAGCTTCAATATCATCACTCCCTTACTAACTCCAGCTTCCTTAAACGAATCAGCTACTTGCATAAAATATCTTAAGTGTCTGTGCGGGCTTTTGATGCCAGTCTATAAAATGGTCCCACTGTTTGCAACATTTAAAACGTTGCAGGCTTCAGCTCAAATCTCCCTGCTTCAATGATTGGATCAGAAATGACAGGGTTAAAGTCATAGAACGCTGGAGCTGCATATGCTCTAATTTCCTGCTCTGTGTCATCGGCAAGCAGAACAATGTTTAGGGGAGGTACTCTTGTAGAACCAAAAAATTTGGGTCAATCATAAACGGCCACGTCATTATCTATTTTATTTAGGGATTAATTATATATTAACCCTAAATTAAAATTA